GTAAATTAACAACGACAAATAGTAACATAAAATTTCTTATATCAAATAAATGAACTGTAATTTTTTAAATTTTATTAAACAAATAAATCATATGAGATATAGGAATGCTTTATTTTTAATGCATTAGTATATATTGAAGTGAAGATGGTGGTTGTCATGCTTTTTTTGTGTCCGTATAAAAAAAATGACTTTTTTTGGTCGTGTTAATGATGAATGATATTTTCCTTTTTTAGTAATTTAATTGAGATAATTGTTACTGATTGTATTTTTGTTAACATTGTTCTTCTAATAATGAAAGAGTTTGTAGAGTAATTCAAGGACACTGGACATATTCGGATCGAATTAAAAGTCTTACCAGCAAACACTAATAGATTTAAAATATATGAGTATGAATAGTGCTTTAACTTTAAAAACACTTCTATAAAGTAATTAATCTATTTACTTCATAACGATTCCAAACGAGTCACTTATGAAACACCTATTAAAATAAAGTATGGGCTTCTATGGTAGCAGGTTAATAGTATGTATATTAGATTGATCAGGCGTGCTTCTCTATGCACAAGGTAATTTGACTATTTCAGTTGTCATTGAAATGTAATGACCTTAAAATTCTTTTTTTTTATCTATAGTGCATAGCTTATTGATTACGCAATATACAATCTATTTTTATAATTCAACAATATGAATAAAAAAAAAGAACCATACATAAAGAGTTTCTCTTTCTTTTTATAATATATGGGCTTAGAAAACAATTTTTTATGTACATAACATCTGTTTTTCTCGAATTAAGTGTGTCGGAATTGGGTTGCATGTTGCTGGAGTCTCTTCTTATCCGACACAGACAGTCCATACCAAGCATTCATATAATAACAAATGATGCTTGTATTTATAGATAGCGACAATCTTTTTACTTATCTATACGTAGATATTAACAAGTAATGCGTTTAGACAGGAATGTTTAAATTTGCTTACTCATGTCATTATTCTCCGATGCAACTGTAATTGATATTTCATGCCGTAGAATCTCTTGTTCAACTAATTCGTGTGAAATCTTTGAAAAGCGTTTTACTCAATAGCAACAACTTGCGTCAATAGATTATCACACAGGACATCATCAAAATATATATTTCTCGTGGGTAAAAAAGAAAACAGTTGAAAAAAAACGAGGTCTTTTTTTAATAATATCATACTTGTCTCTTTTGAAAGTCATTTGCCATGGAGACAGAGCAATTATACAATATACTATTTTTGTTAAGTGGCAGCTTATGAGTGTGTAACAGAGATCGAAACGAGTCAAAAAAATCTGATTCGACTCGACTCGACTCGACTTAAGTATTCACTCGATTCGATTCGACTCGACAGACATTTGAAAAAACCTAACTCGACTCGACTCGACTCGACCCAANATATATCCATTTTTGATATTTAACCTCGGAATATAACTGATTCCAACATCAGATATACAGTAGACGGTGCCTCTGTATCACCGGAACTCAACAAGATAAAATGTTAAAGTTATCTTGTTTGAAAGAAAAGGATTCCTTATGAGAAAAAGGAGATTGGAAGTTTTGAAATTTGAAGCTTATTTTAGCTACTTTCGACAGATTGTTAAAAAGTGACAAACATATGCCTTGTTTAAGAGATCGACTCTTACATAGGTTAATGTGCCCCGCTTTGCTCTTTCGAATGGTGAAAACCGCAGGTCGCTTTGACTTTTTGTTCGAAAGTTATAAGCTTTTTTTCCACCGGCCTTCTTTTAAAATTCCGATCGTAGTTGTCATGAAACAAAAAAGAAAATATCGACACTTGAAGTAACAGTACATCAAAATCATTGATTTAACGTTACATCTCTGTCTTCTGATTATTTCAGGACCTGAAGAGAGTACAATCAATTAGACATGCACCGAACATGAATATTCAAGTTCGGTCTTGATAACAATCCTTTTCACTCAGATAATAAAAGAACGTAGAAGATAGTCATAAGAGAGAACTTCAGACTTGACTATGGTAGATCTACACATACAGTGGAATAAATGATCTAAAAACCAAAGATCTACAGCTACACTAAAAAAAGTCAACAGTGTTCAGAAATACAAGAACCTGAACTAAACTGAGCTTTAGACTGTTTCTATGATTGCCTATATACTTCAAGAAAAGTTTGGAGAAATATCCAAATACTTGAAATTTGTCTGAACTGATTGAATAGCTTCTGAACTTGAACTGTTCATCCCGAACGACGAGTCAGAATTTGGGTTCGGTGCATTCCTACAGCTAATCAGTATGAAATTTTCACAAGAGATAGAATATCTGACATAAACAAATATATATTTTCATGGAAAACTATTTTAAATAAAGTTTTTGTGATTTTTTTTCAGGAATGTCTTAAATTTTCATAGCATTTCACTTGTTCATATCACGTCTATTTGGATCACAGATAATCTATAGTGTTCTTCAGAGATAGAAATAAGTTATATTCTTTTTTTTTTGAATTTCCTATCTCGATTTATAAGATTGTAAAAACCAACACTTCAACTTTGCTTACAAATCTTTACGTATTTCTTCTATAAAAAAATTTGATTTTCGGAAATGTTCAAACTAACCGCTGAGACAGTCTTAGATATTAGCAAATAATATTTTCAGACTAATCGGATAAAGTTTGATGAAGATTATTACCTGATTAAATTCAGTCTTTTTGGAAAACTACGGTTCTTGAGAAAGGGTAAAAACAAGTCGGAACAGAGACTTTAAGCATCAATTACTTTGATATGAGAATGTGTTATTTTTTATGAAATTATGGATTGTTGACAGGTTATTCGATATTTTAGAATGTTTTTTACAATAACAATTTAACTGTGATCGATGAATTATTCGAACTTGTTTATCAATATTATCATAAATTCATGAATATAGAAAGTAAAAGTCATTCTAATCTTTCTGTTTTCTTTAAAATTGAAATATTCATGAATTAATTTAATGGTAGTGAGTTAATATTAAAACCTACGTTGCTTAGACAAACAATCTAAAAAGCAACCAAACCAGAATAAAAAGTCTAGCAACATTATCATTTTTTTTTGTTCAGACATGTATTTCTAATTCTACTTCTTTTCTTTCTTTTTGTTGCATTTTTTGCTTCTCTTCCCATATATAATGCAACCAGATTGCAGACAAAGTCTGCTATTTTTCAACATTCTAGTAGGGTTTTTCCTGATTCAAAATAAAGTATAGGTGAAGGACAATTTTTGTTTTATGCATACAAGTGGATAAACAACTTTAAAAATCGGGATACCTTGTAAAAAACAAACTGATACGATAGTAGTATGTTGCTAACGGGAAAGAATGTTTTGAGCCTTTGGTTTGTAGGAAATGAAATCGGTGTTCGTTTGACTATAAAAGAGCGTATACATTAAACATTTTTAGGATAACCCTACTTCAAAAAATACGATGAAAACTTTTTAATCAAATAAACACTAGTTTATCATCTTTATTGGCTATATTACATTAGAAGTCCATTTACATTCTTATTCTCTATTACCTAAGCTGAGAAGAATTTCGGAAAACGTATTTAAACACTCATTCAGCAAACATCAAAATCAGCTACTGTCATAATGATAGATGCGTAAAGGAGTTTAAAAAGTCAACTTTTGTATTTGGAAAATGAACTCTATATTAAGAATATTTTTTTTTTCTAGCTTAAAGTTAATTCATTGAGAACCAAAATGTAATGGTTATCAAAACCGACATTTATGCAAAACACTATTTTAAAAGACAGAAGTAAATATGTTTGCTTATGTTTTGGAGATCTTGATGTATTTTGACAAAGGTCAAAAACAGTCAGTTAAAATCAGAATTTGATGCTCCTACGAATCAGATATTCAGATCTTCTTTTTACAGATCTAAGGTTGGTTGTCTGTCAACAAATATTTACATTAAATGAAAAATGTTATTTACACTAAACAAAATAGACTTTCTTCTATTATTCCTAATTTCTCTGAATGAGATTTTAGAATAGTTTAGACTTTCTAATGTTGTACAGAATTTAATTTTCTATTAAATCATACATAATAGTTAGCTGAAATTTAGAAAGAGTCACACTCTATATATTTGTTTCGAACTTCAGTATTTAAAATGTAAAAGATATCGATCATTTGTAGCAATACAGAAAAAGAGAAACGAATTGATTATGTTTTAGAGTAAGCCTCGCTTCACAGCCTAATGTAAAAAAAAATATCTTTTTACAGTTTGGATTGAGATTGTTCTTATCAAAATACAAAACTGAGCTACACGAAAAATTGTGTACATACACCATTTTGGCCACCATTAAAAGTTTGTTCTCAATGAATTAACTGTTAGCTAGAAATTATATTCTCAATGCATACAGTAAAACCTTCTATAATAAACATCTCCGTATATTTGGACATCGTCATATAGTTCTATGGTGAATAATTTTGAAAATTCTCCATGACGTCCACGACATGAAGACTTTAGTATAGTTTAACAATTGTTAATTATCCAAGAACAAAAATGCAAAAAAAAGATATGTCACATTGAGCAATAGTCAATGTTTTTATTCACTAACATCCTACAACTACCTAGTAAATATGTCTGCTTCTTGTAAAAGACTACTTTTACAAAAGTCTAAAGGGTGTTTATAATAGAGAGAATATACTATATTTGAAAAGAGCATGAAATTCTGATTACTTTAGATTCTCTTCGGTAACTTATAAGTCGACGAAAATTGACTAGAAATGTTGTGTAAAAACTTCATATACACAGGCTATAATAAATTTATTAACTTGTCTATATGTTTTGACTCAGTTCACTTTTAACTTCAAGAAATTAAGACGTATCACTCCCATCTCGCGATAGACACTTACTTTTTTTTCAGTACTAGTACTATGTTGAAGACTATGACTAGATTGATTTTTTCCTGTCATGATCTGATTATTATTGACTAAATATAGAAATAAATACAATAACAAAAAAGAGATTTCTTTAGTTAACTAACTTTTTGATCGACTACCAACAGATCCATTTTTATTAGGTAAACTTGGTTTAGATGGTATCTTATTATCTGCTGGTAATACTATTGTCAATGATGTTATTTCTGATGATGATGATGATGACGATGATAAAGAAATATTTTCAGCTTTTACATGAATACTTTTTTTGACTTGATTTAAAATCGATTTTAAACGTGTTTCAATTTGAACAAAATTTGGTCGATTTGTTGGTTCATATGACCAACAATCTTGCATTAAATCATATAAAGATTTCGGACAATTAGTACTAGGTAATGATAATCGTAGGCCGTTTTCAATTTGATCAATAACATCTGCATTAGGAATACCTTGAAATGGTTTTTTACCCATTGTTAAAATTTCCCACACGCAAACAGCAAACATCCATACATCAGATAAATGAGTAAAACGACGAAAATTTATTGATTCTGGTGCCATCCATTTTATTGGTAATTTACCTTTTGATGCTATGAGAAAACAAGAAACAAAAAAAAATTGTTTTCTTTTCTTTTGTTTTTTATTCTTATGAATTACCTTTATAATATGAATTATCAAGTGTTAATTGTCTTGAAAGACCAAAATCAGCTAATTTTACTAATTCATGATTTGATACAAGAACATTTCTTGCAGCAATGTCACTATTAAATAAAATTGTTTTGTTTATTTTTTTTTTCTTTTCGAAATTTTTCCCTACCGATGAACAAATTTTTTTGATTCAAGATAAGCTAATGCTGAAGCCAATTGTACACAATAAAGTATCAATATTAGTAAATCAAAATCATTTCGATTAGCAACTAAATAAGTACGTAACTAAAAGAAAAAAAAACAAATAAACATATTAGTTAAAGATATAGAATTAAAAATTTTCTTCAAACAACCTCGCCTAATCGTGCTAATTCAATAATAAGTAAAACAGGTTGTTCAGTACACACTCCAATTAATTTAATAATATGTGGATGAGTAAAGTTTTGCATAACATCTGTAAAAATAAATAAAAAAATTAAAATTAATATAGAATGGTCCAAAAGTCATTCGATAGTCTTTGATTGCAAGTAAATTTTGATAGAAATAAGATAGGGAACTGTGATTGTCACTGTTCTAAAGGACTCTATGTCATTTCATGATTTCGTGTATGATTCAATGTCTGTTGATGATCGAATTGTCATTCAGTGAAATTCAGAAAAATACTGATAGATCTATTAAGATGACACAAAATTTCAATTCTTTTAAATGCTCTTGGATTCAAATCTAAACCCGAAATTTTTATTTCGATCTGTTTACGAGTTTTAGACGCAACAGTAGACAGCGAGAGTGTGGAGTGCGAGTCCGAGACTCTAGTGCATTTCTTAGAATTGAACTTCTATGTCATCTTCATAGATCTATCAATATTTTTCAGAAGTTCATTAAATGACAATTCGATCGTCAGCTGATATTGTTGAATCATACGTGAAACTATGTGCAGTAACACTATCTCTATTGAATGATGAAAATCACAGTTCTCTATCTTGTTTCTTTCAAAACTGATTCAAAACGTAAAGACTATCGAGTGACTTTTGAATCATTTTTTATATCAGTATAATTTAAAAAATTAATTTCTTACATGCTTCATCTAAAAATGTTTCTGTTGTTGTTGCATCTTGCATCTTACATGTTTTTATTGCAACATCAATTTCTGATTGTTGATCAGTCTAATATGAAAAAATATATGTATAATTAAGAAAATAAATAATGGAATTTTACTTTAAGTATTCCTCGATAAACTTCACCAAATTGACCATCACCAAGTAATTCAATCATTTGAATTTGTTTACGATCAATCTGATAATGAGAAGATAATACATCAGCGTAATCTCCACTCGAATCATCATCATCGTCATCATCATCAGCTACAAGAAAATGATCTTCATCATTAATATTTTGAAAAATATTTTACTTTGATGACGACTATACATAAAATCTGAAGAATATGAAGCTGAATAACTCAATGGTGATGATGCTTTTGACATTAGCGAATTTTGTTCTTCAATAATTGATCGCCAAAGAGAATGTATACTTCTGTTGACAAACATACAATAACCATCGATAAGAATAGCTAAATCATTAGTTTCAGAAAAAGATGGACAACTTAGTGTTAAAGTCTAAACAATAATTTTCTTTGTTTCAAGTAAAAGATTAAAAGAAAATTTTAACCTCGGATGATCCAGCAACGATTAATTTGAGAAGACCACGATCATCTGAATTAACTTTTGTTGTTGATATTGATAAAACATTTTCAAATGTAGTCATTTTAGTTAACTATTATTTTTAGGATATAAGAGATTCAGAAGCAAATGATATACAAACTTACTTCAGTAGAATTTTGTGTTCGATAACTGATACCCTCTGATGGACCAAGAACCAAGCTGATTGGTACTGACCATTCAGACTAAACCGAAACAAATAATAAAATAACAATTCCTATATTGCAAAGTAGCTAGAATTTTTTTTATCTTCGTTTGTTGTGTTGTTTTCTATCGAAAAGTTTACTCACTTTTGTGAAGGACGATCTAATTAAAAGAAATGTTGAGGTATAAAGGTAGAAGTTTGGACACACTCCCTCTTCCCAGACTGTGACGAGCACTTTGTCAATCGATCACAGACCGTGAAGGATACCTTGGTAATTCATCATAACTCATGACAGATACTTTGCCAATTGATCACGAACCGTGACGGGTACATTAATAATGCTCTCCTTGAGAATGCGAATCACAGATACATCGTGTTTCGCATTTTAATCATGTGGAGACAGCGCTAACAGCTTTTTTTATTTAGAATTTCGATGTCTATTTGGGCTTCAGAACAACCTCGGGCAAATGTTTTCCACACCTGGATACAGGGCAATATTTTTGTACCTTAATCTTTGAAGCAGGATAGAATAGGAAACACAATAGTGTTCTTAAAACACAATGATTATATTTTCTCAATCGAGTTCAAAACTAATAATGTTACCATACTGTACCATAGCACACTTTTCTTTCAATCTATTTCAAAATAGCAATTACTTTAATTGTATAGAGCTGATGATTAATATTTGCTTTATCGAATAAAAAGCATGAATATCAAAAATACAAATATGATGTTTTTTATGTTTATTTGAAGGCATAGCTGGAGAGGAAATTTTTTCAATATCACACTCAGAGTATTCAATTATAGGCTTTTGTTTTTCAAGTACTTCAAAAACAAAACTCGCTGTTTTACAGATAAAAACTGGATGTTTACTTACTCCAAGATTACATGTAAATATTTCTTGTTCCCAATTCCAAACATTTTTGAATAACAAACAAAATCGTTTAGCACATTCTTCTTCAGCTAAACTTTCATATTTTTTTAAACATGCTTTAATATATTTTCGAAGATTTCGAGGCTAATTAATAAATCTATATAAAATGTATTATTTGAATATATAAAATAACAAACTTTATATGAATCAATAAGTGATTGTGAAAAAAATGTTTTTAAGCCAAATTCTTTTTCAAGATAATCCATATTAACTTTTTTATCTAATGCTGTTGAATTGAGATCTTTAAAAAGTTTACGTATTTCAAGTGAACCTAATTCAATGGCTTCATTTATTGATACATGATCTGATTTCATACGCATATAATCAATACGAAGCTAAATAATTTCAATATAAAATATTAAAATAAACAAATAAATCAATATACTTGTTCATACAAAAATCCAAATGTAGATTTATCATGTACTAATTCATCAATCGACGGTGGAAAATATCGAAGACGAAGTTCAAATCTAAATTTGTTAATTTTATTAAATATTTAAGTAAATTTTTAGAGCATACTAAAAGTAGTAGCAAATGCATTAGAATATATATATATAGTATTGAGAGTGCAATCAGTGCTCTTGAAATTCTATAATATTTCACTATTCTGCAGTTTGATCAAAGTTATTCAGCTCTGATTCAGATGGAGAAGGAAAACTTTCGCTTCTACAAGTTCGTACTGCACTAAATTTTGTGTTCGGCGGCCAAATTCTATGTATCATAACAGTTGAAATCTGCAGTGAATAGCTGCTTTATGAAGATCTAGACGATGTTTGAGGCATAGCACAATCCGACGGTTCTTTAACTGAATAACATTTGACAATATGGAAAAGGTTCATTCTCAAGTTGCACGTTTGTTCGCACTACCACGATAGACTTGTGTAGCCAAAGGATGGTCAATAGTTTAAGTATCAGACTATTGCTAATTGATTGCCAGTACACCGTCAGCTGTTTTCCGGTTCGAATATGGCACCGTCAAATGTATAACCTTCAAATCTCGTAAATTTAAAAAAGACTACCGCTTGCCATATATCGGAATAGCTGATTTTGAGGATGATCATGAAAGATCTGACAGATCGCTATTCGTCTTCAATCTCTTCTTGTCTTTCACGAAACTATGAATATATAGTAGAGTGAGAACTTTAATGTAGAATTAAACGTTTTCCTTATCGATCTAAATCGAAGATAGAGACGCTGCATCGACCTTCGATTCTACCACAGGCGAAATGACTGTAAAGAATTTTTTTCTAAATTACATTATGTATTTTTATTTTTATATAGCAAAGATTTTATTCTTCATAAGTTAAGTAATGAACTAAAAAGTGCTACTTTATAGATACATAAATAAATTGCAAGAAAAAAAGTCATCCGTGATATTTTGATTAGGAAATAGCATAAGCGAAGGAATACGTGATAGTCAAAAACAAGAAAACTTCCGGAATTCCTCGGAGGTAGAAAGTTTCATTCCGCAGGGCTCCAATTAGACGTGAGCAGCTTTGACTGAAATTCTAATATTAACATAGAGACTCAATGAAGAGTGAAATATTATAGATTTCTATAATACTGTTTGAACTATTGGTGTATATATATATATAAGATATACCCTCAAGCCTTCGATAGGATATTATAATGTTGCTGTTATTACTTTCGATATGAGCTAAGTAATTGATTTATTTACTTTAATTCATCAGCAATTCCATAAAACATTTGTACCTTTTCCATAGTCATATTTGGATGAAGCCATTTATTCACAATATTATTTTTATTTATTGACGACAAAACTGTTTGTTGTTCTTGTCCAATATATGTTACGCGAAGAGCAAATGATAAGGAATAAACTAAATCATAAGGTGCAAGACGACCTTTTAATACTATTCGAATTAAATCCTAGAAAATAAAATTTAATCAAAAACATAATCTAATCATTCTTTGATACATTTTCATACCGCAATAGTTGTCAATGATGTATATCGTAAAGTATGAAAGGACCCATTTGGAAAATAAATTTTTAAATATGTCATTTTATCCATATTTATATCAGCATAACCATTGCCGATATGAATGATTGAAGGATAACAAATAATCTAATCGCTTTATTCGATTCGTTCATAATTAAACCATTGGTATATAAAATAATTCAAATAATGACCTCTATCGTTTGATCATTCAATACGTTTATTGATTATCTAAAAGATTTTCTAATCGAACATTAAGTTCAGAAAAAGAAGAATGACGTGTTGTGATAAAGATACAAGTCAGATGTTAGGTGAACGTATTGTTTTTAATGGATTGAATTCAGAAGTAATGTTTTCATCAGAAATAGTTCCAATACCGAAACTTGCACCTGGAGAAATTCTTGTTAAAGTAATTCAATATGTTAAGATAGTAGAGTTTATTTATTGTTTTCTTTGGTTTATCATTATGTCAAGGTTCGTTTAGCATCGATTTGTATGAGTGATGTACATACAGTTAAAGGTCAACGTATAGAACCAACACCAAGGTAATTTATTAGTTTTAAGAAAGAAAATCGATTAATTATATTTGAACAACTATTTTCTTTTTTTTTTTTCAAAAGTGTTCTTGGTCATGAAGCTATTGTTGAAGTTATTGCTCATCGTCGACCTGAGTATGATTTAAAGAAAGGCGATCGTTTAACATTTTCAATTGCTGACTCTTGTGCTAAATGTGAATTTTGTTTAAAAGGACTTCCACAAAAATGTACTAAATTATTTAAAGTATGTTTAAAAAAAAAATTTATTTCATTCTTTTCATATGACTTTTAAATTTGACTCGGTTTTTTTAATGTAATATAGTATGGGCATGCAAAATTAAGTGATGGTTCAGGTTTTAATGGTTGTTATGCTTCACATATTATAATTCGAAGTGGTACTCATGTTGTAAAAATACCTGATATTATATCTGATCGATGTGCAGCACCAATTAATTGTTCATTAGGAACAACAATGTGTGCTATGGAATTTGTACCGAAAATTAAAAATGGACGAGCTTTTGTTCAGGTATATTAATTTCTTTTTTTGTTATTTGTAAATGAAAGATATGTATATCATGATGTTTACGACTGAGAATAAATATCTTGGTGAAATTCTAAGAATTGATTAATAGAGTTAAGAAAAGAATATTCACTATAAATAGAAGTCTGTAGAATTATGTGTTATAAAGTAGACGGGAAAAGTTGAGTACTTTTTTCTTGTGACGGAATTCGAACAGGAAAAGACATTACTTCTGCACTTCTAAAGTATTGAGAAGTAAAAGGACATATCAATACTAACTTTCTTTCAAAATCATGAAATGCAAATACTTAGTACTATTCATCAATATCAACACTTAAAAATAACTTTGCAAAAACATTTTACTATAAAAAAAATGTATTCCTCATTTACTCATCGGTCGATCAAGAAAAAGAACCGAGAAATTTTATCAAAACACTATTTGATAAATGACTTGAATTTTGTAATGAGTGACTCATTATGATTAAACGTTTGTACGAAGTTTTTCGCGATTCAGGACCTCATAGGTCAAATCCGCAAATAAAGCTTTTATTCATTCAGTCATACTAACTTTCGTTGGTCGTATGTTATTCTTTTTTTTTCTATCTGTTAGTCTAATCAAAAGAAATAAGTTGACATTATTTATTTTTGAATATCTTCTAAGTAAACATAAACAATGGTAAAAAGAGGATGAGTACTTTGCTCTCTACGATGGGCACTACTTTTATTATTTCTTTATTATGTTTTCTTGATAAAAACAACATATATTTTAAAGAAAACTCTTGACGTAATCCGCATAGGATTAAAATGAGAAACACGACTTATTTGCTCTTACTTATCATAAGATTATTTTATTCTATCTATTTCGGGATACATTTCCTTACCATAATTTTACTTAGTCCTTGAAGGATGTGTCTTAAACAAGAATGGGCTAAGCCGGGCGCCGCCCTACCACCGGAACAAAGAAAAAAACTTAATTACCATCATTGACACTATATTGCGTAAATTATCACTAAGATCGTAGGGCATTCTCTTACCATCTACAATCTTCTGGTTACGCTAATATCTCCAGAAATACAATAAAAACGTAGTTTATATGAAATCACAAGTGGTTATTGATATACAGTCTTTTTGATCGTGAAACAATAACATCTGTCATGGTCTGTCGGGGTGCAAATTTCTACCCTATATACTTCAAATACTCCGCATTTAAATCATGTTTCCAAAAACGATTAATAATATGAGTCTTATTATTAGAGATGTGGCAATTTGTTAATGATTTCGATCTAAGGAAATGAGCTATCCGAAACATTTTTATTTCCCAAACAGAATTATAATATTTCAAACATCTCAGTTTCTACTAAAAGAATTGTTAACACAGATAATTTTCTTTCAAAAGGATATGTCAAGAGTTCATTAGCTCATTTAACCTGAGCTTATGAGCTGAAATTGATCCATATCTAATTATTATCCCTATAGAAAAAGAAATGTGCAAAATTATATGGAAATAGGTGTGGATATGAAAACGCGCAGAAGTATGTTTTTTGTTTCGCGCTGATAGGGTTTCATGTATCTCAAGAAGGATCATCATCAACTTCTAATTATTTCAATTCAAGGTTGAAATCAGTTGAGAGTATGTCAAGTTGGTACGTTTGAAAATATTCTTCATGTCAGTCCGTTAGGACATTTTAAATCAGTTTAAAGAATATTTTTTTTCTATCAGTCAGGTTTTATAGACAATTCTAATTGTTCATTTCGAACGCTGGTCCAAACCTAAATATGATCTCTAATTAATCATCGATGAAATATATCGATCAAGGAACTTAGTTTTCCTTACGTTTTATATGAAGTGAAATATAGTTAGATTAAACAAAACCAAGAGTATAAATAATACAATGAATAGTTTTTGGAACAATACTGTTTTTGATTATTTTAATAACAACACCTAAATTTGCATATTTAAACAATTTCTTTTAACCGCTTCGCTCTCGATTCTGCCGCCAATGATCGAAAGTTCTATTACAAAAAAAATTATATTCCAGTCATCAAGTTCTTTTATCATGTGTCAAAAGTTGTTAGCACAATTGATGGGGGATTAAAATGTGTAACACGACTGATCTACATATATTGTAAATCAAGAAATTCTGTAACATATGTATGCAGGTTTATGACTTACAGCGTACTAATATGCCTGTGATGAATGATGCAGCTCATAATAGGTTATAGTGAGTTTGGAAAAGAGACCAAAGATAGATACCGTCAACTCAGTCTTCTTTCATGATACTTCATATGAAGGCTTGTTTTTTGACTAAGTCTCTCTCGAGGTTTTATGGAAGAGGGGCATTGTTATGTTGTCTGTGAGGGTTCAGACTATACCTAGATACTTCAAAACTTCTTTTAGATCATGTTTCGCAAAGCTCGATTTATTAGAAATCGATTAAATCTATTGGATTACTCGGACATTTAAGTTTCGTTAAAATGTTGAAAAACCTAACTATACAATCCATAAAATGAAGTTCCTTATTCTGGTCAATTGTTTTTAATCTACATTCACTGCTATCTGCCGAAGACTTTATGGCTTGATAATTAATCTTTATTTTGATATGATTTCGTAGGGTGATGGTATTCTTGGTTTATATACTTCAGCAGCTCTTCGTGAACTTGGATATGATACAGTCTATTGCTCAGGTACTCGTATTCAACGGTCAGAATTTATAACTCGTTTTGGTGCAATACCAATTTATAACGGTAAAACATATTTTTATGAATCATACTTAAATCCCCTCGAATATGGCCTGTGGACTAGGAATATTCAAATTGCATGAAATTTTCAGCTCGATATAATGACGTTTTCATGAGATATCCGTCAAACAACGGTCAAAAATAGCCAGTTTGGGAATCTGAAATTCTCTATGAGCCTCGGTGTTATATATTTTATTTTTATCTTGTTTGAATGAGCATATCAGGCTGTCAGAGATTTCTTCTTTTATCATTCTTACTTTTTTTGCTGGGGAAAAAGTGACAGATTGAGTACTGCAAAAAGAACTTAAAAGAATGCCATTTTTTTTTCAGTTTATTTTTGCGGTACGAAACTTGTCATCTTTTTCCTCCTACACTGACATGCTTATCAAAATAGAAGAAAAAAATAATTTCTAGAATGAAAAGCTCACAAAGAGTTTCAGGTTGCCAAAGTAACTATTTAAAATTTTGTTTGATGAATATCTCATAAAAACGTCATGTTAACGAGCTGAAAATGTCATCATAATCTTTCCGCTACAATTCTAACATATTCTAATCATTTGATGTGACTTGCGTGTTCCTGTCTAAAAAATCTGTTTCGCCATAGAATACTTAACAAAAGTTCACGTAAGAATATATTAATATAATTTTTATGTTTTATACTGTTTTAGACAGGCGAAGTATGATACGAAAAAAACATTACCAAATGTGCATTACTATTTTCGCTCGGTTTTCTTGCCTTCTTTTTCTTCTGCTTGTTGCACGTATATATATATATGCTAGTTTTTTGCTCGAAGAAAATCTTATCAATTTAATCATTGAACGAGATTTAAATAGATTACGTACATATTAGTCACATGCATATCTTGTAGCTTTTGTGCAATATGTAAAAAACAGTAAATTTAAATAGATTTATTTTTTATTATTATTTATAATAAAGTACTTTTCCTAGATGATATACTCATCGAAGAAGAAAATAAAATTGATGTTGTTGTTGAAGTAAGTGTTATTTTTCTTTGAAAAGAAAGCATTAAAAGAAAGATATATCATGATAGGTTTGTGGAGTATCAAATGTTATTAATGATGGTATCAAATTATTAAAACCAGGTGGATTATATCTTTTTCTTGGTATGGTTCATCCACATTCTGAGCTACATATCACTGGTGAACAGATTATTCGTAAATGTCTCATGATAAAAGGTAAAAGAAAAGAAGAAAAACTAATTGAAAATTAAGCTTCTTTTTTTTGCTGTTTCTTTCAAGGTATTCATAAT